CCCAAGCCAAAAGCAGAGACGAGTGGCTAAACAGATGGGCCAACGCAGAAACAGGAAGATCTATCTTCGGGTACATGGACAAACCCAACAGCAAAGACCTTTCAAATCTTTTATGTAGAGCCGATCAAACACTGATCTTCAGAGCCCGCACAGGACACTTACACTGACACCAGCAAGTACATAAAGAGAATTAACCCCATGTGGGAACCGCATTGCAGACACTGTGACTACCATGAGGAGACCGTTGAACTTCTCCTTCACTGCTCAAACTAGTCAAACCTGGCAGTTCTTCGACGAAGGCTTCTTCTACACACACACATACAGACTTAAGAAGCTTGCTCTACTCTGGCGTTGACCAGATGACAATGACATGTAGTTACTTGAGGGAGGCATTGCTCTGCCAAGAGCGAAATGCTCGCAGCTAAAGGGATTTGGAAACAGCAACAACATAGTAAGGGTTTTACGGTACTTGCAAGACAATAAGGTCATATAAATTATAAATGCCGAAGGTTAGAAGTGTTACAAGAGAGTAACAGACACAAAAAAGGAGAGATAAGATAAGGACGATACCTGCCAACTTAAGTTTCGTTTTAGTATGGTTTTACGGCGCTTGCAACTACATAAGGTCATATTATGAGCGCCTAGTGCTGCGTGGTGTAAGCGCACCTTTGGACATGTAGAGTGAACGCACCTTTAGAATAGTCATTGTGACGTAGGCCTAACGGACACCTCACGAGACAGACTCCTCACGTGACTTCGGGCAAGGCGCGAAGAAACAAACTACCACTCACTAGGTGGAGCCGAGAGAAGTAACATCGGCTAATCAAGATCTACTACAGACTTCAACATAAGTTAAGGACCCCTTGCAAACACTCTGAGTGGTCTTATTGGGTCAACCAGCACGTGGGCGTTCTTTGGCGGATCCAGTAGCTTGATGGCGCTGCCTCAAACGGACTATGACAGAGTGTGACACTGCAAGCCTTCTGGCACCTTCTTGGGCTCCAATTCCATCCTGCTACTATGCCTTAGCTCGGGTACGATCAGTCTCCCAGCTGTCGTCTTGGTGGCACACTGATGTGATACTGGATTTTGCGCAAACGGCGGCTTATATTGCTGTCCACGTTGAGCAGCCGCGTTTTTTTTTGCGTAATTCTGCAACATTTGCATAATTTTGGATTCCCCGCGTTTTTTCACTGCCCCCCCACATTAATTAACAATGGGCTACACATGGAGGCTATCTCGCTTATTACGGGACCGAATTTTACCAAATTTCACACATATAACAAGCATAGTAAGGATTTTAAATTCCGCAATCAAATTTGAGAAAAAAGTTTCGTTTCCATGGATATGCCGCCATACTGGATTTTATTGACATGTCTTACGTAACGAATACCGCACTTATCGCTCATGGAAATTAATTGTTTTTTTGCTTGCGTGTTCCCAAACATTAGATCTAAAAATTAGTCTGTTGTTTTTTTCCTAATCGAATTAGAAAATATTTAATGAATTTTTTCTTGAGGTAGCATTCAAGTTTGGCGAAAAATCCGTGAAAATCCACACTCCAGACACCTCCAACAAAAATCTATTCCAAATATCAAAAATTCAACAGAAATTTCATGAAGATTCGATGAAAAATGGTGGGGTTATTCAAAAAAGTATAAAGAAAAGTCGCATTTTGAGAAAACGGCCGATAAAGAAAAATAAAATACTGACTTTATGAGGAAATGGCGGTTACAAACATGCCCGGTATGGGAAAAAAATACTGTTTTGGGGGGTTCTTATGCCATGAAATATTTGTAGGAGAGGCTGAGGAAGCTAAAAATGCCTACAACTCAAATTCCATGATTTTGAGCCGAATTTTGATTTTGGGGGTGTAGCCGCCCCCCTTAATTAACAATGAACGCCTCGCCATGTGACTAAAGGGAAGTAATCGCCGCAATAAGTCTAATTTAAGTGAAAAGTTGGTTATTTCCCTTGTTAGAAGATCATGGTAAAAGGTTGGGATTGTATTTCTTGAGCATGCTCAATTTTTCAATCAATCAAAAGTTGTTGTTTTCATGTCTTCAGAAGTTTTATGTTAGACAGGTGTCCCTGGTTTTAGTAATGTGCCAGCATCAGAGGTCCAGATGTCCTTTTTTTAAAATACTTTTTTCTTTCCTCTATAGATTCAGTCTAGATCTACACCTGAAAGTTACAGAGATTATATTTTTGGTTGTTTTTTTGTTACTGATGTGTATGGTTTTCTTTCCAAATACACAACTAATTACTGATACTGATATGTTCTGTTTTCAATTTTTCTGTACATAAAACATGAAAATCATGAAAATTCGTGTTGAAAAAGTGCAAAACATGCTGCGAATGGTGTTACGGTAACTTGCATAATTTTTGCGTAATTTTGCTTTTTTTTGTGTGCATAATTTGGCAATTTAAATTTGCATAATTCTATGGAGACAGATATTGCCACCATAGTGAGCAGTGTTCCAGACCATACGTCCGTTTATGACGTGCACCACAAATTTTGCTTAAATGACCAAAATTGTGTCGATAGTGCCGTAAAACATCTACTCAATCAATCAATCAATCAATCAAATCAAAATCCACAAATTCTAACTGAGGAATGTCCATGGTGCAGCACACTAATCGATGAAAAAGCAAATATGGCTAAAAATCCACGAAGATTTCCGGGCCGCACGCGGTGGTTTTGCACCATTAGGAAGCTTTGCAATACGCATTGGTAACCGATTCAGACTTTCAAAGCAAAAAAATTTTACAACATTATTTGCGATCTTTTATTTCGGATTTTAACAAAACCAGGGCTGTTTGTCAAGGTGGTAGGGAAGAGGGTGAGAGAGAAGGCATCACGGACAGACAAAAAGAGGGGAGACAGAGAGAGAGAGAGAGAGAGAGAGAGAGAGAGAGAGAGAGAGAGAGAGGAGAGAGAGAGAGAGAGAGGAGAGAGAGAGAGAGAGAGACAGAGAGAGAGACAGAGAGAGAGACAGAGAGAGAGACAGAGAGAGAAAGAGAGATTGTGTTGAAGTCTGTAGAACACCAGTAGGTGGGGCCCCACCAACATCTCCAAGTTCTAGATCTACTACTCCAAGACTCAAGACTCAACAAGTAAGTCATAACAGGGTGGATGTCAACAGAGAAGTACAAACGGGGAATCAGGCTTACTCTGCTCACCTCTCTAGCCTCAACAGCACAAAATCTGCTTCGAAAGAAAGAGCTTCCCAGAAATACTGACTAAAGGAAGTTGTGTCTATAGGGACAGCTTCTAAAATTAAGCAGAACACATTAAATATATTTTTCAAAAATTATATAAAAAGCCGTCTAAATCTTTAAAGACGTAGTAGGAACATATGTCTAACCAACAGCAGACCAGAGGCAACGTTAAGGCATATTTCAAACCATCATACACAAATCAAAAGCATGACTTTCCACGTTGAACAGAGGGCAAATTTTTGCTTGTCTTTACAGATTCATATAAGAGAAAGCAGAACAGAAAAATCTGGGTGACAAGCGAAGTAAACTGCACCTTTAAGCGCAGTCGAATGATCGTAACGTGTGTCCTCAGTGGTTAAAATAAAAATATGCAGTTGACTCACATAAAATCACTAAACAGTGAAAGAAGCAAGTTTTTTAAAAATAAACAGAAGACAAGATTTGTTTTTTAAATTATTTTAAAAGATGTTTCAATTAAAAAGCAGCTGACTCAAGTAAAATCTCGTCATAGTCAACAAATATAGCCCCGGTATTCTCACATTCTACCATAGACTTTCACACATTATCGGAGATTTATTTTAGAAAATGCTGCATTTACAGACAACAAAAATAAAACCAACACACATTCAAATACACATGAAATTTATTAATTAAAGCAAAGAAAAACACATTGGCACAATAAATAATCATAATTTATGGCAAGGGAAAGACAAAATAAATAAACATAACAAAACACAGAATGAAAGACAAAATGTGGGACCCGGAAGTGGCAACCTCCAGCCTTCTGCTCAGAGAAGGGTATCAATATCATCTACAAAAACGCCCACATCCACAGATGCCCAGACCAACATCCATTGGAAAGAAGTGAATCAACACGGAAACCTAGTTCTAGACCAAGACGGAATATGATTCTCTGTGTGTCGCTTGTACGTTCAGTAGACCTGTGAATGATGCCTCTCTGTGTCACTTCTACAGCCAGTAGACCTGTAAATGATATCTCTGTATCACTCCTAAAGCCAGTAGACAGCTAATAGTTGTCTTTGAATTACTCCTAAGCCAGTAGACAGCTATGTAATAGATGTCTTTGAATCACTTCTGCCAGCAGACAGCTAATACATGTCTCTGTATCACTCTTATTTCCAGCAGACAGCTACTAGATGTCTCTGTATCACTCTTATTTCCAGCAGACAGCTAATAGATGTCTCTGTATAGCTCCTACTGGCAGTACACAGCTCATAACTATCCCTGTTGCATCACACTTACTGCCAGTAGACAGCTAATAATAGATGTCTTAGAATCACTTTTTCTGCCAGCAGACAGCTAACAGATGTCTCTGTATCATCACTCCTACTGCCAGCAGACTGATAGATGTCTCTGTATCACTCCTACTGCCAGTAGACCGGTAAGCGATGTCTCTGTATCACTCCTACTGCCAGTAGACCAGTAAGCAATGTCTCTGTATAACTTCTACTGCCCGTAGACCAGTAAGCCATGTCTCTGTATCACTCCTACTGCCAGCAGACAGCTGATAGGTGTCTCTGTATAACTCCTACTGCCAGTAGACCGGTAAGCGATGTCTCTGTGTCGTTTGTACGTCCAGCAGACAGGTAAGCAATACCTCTGTGCGTCATCGGTACGGCCAGTTGGGAGTCCAGTTGTCCGTTTCGTCCAGTCTATAAAGGCTGGGATGCTCCATTAGGCTTGGGTCAGAAATCTGTTGGATTAAAGATGCTTTTAGTAATAATTTAACGCACTTGGCACACAAATTGGTC